TTCATCAGGCGGCGCATTAAAACAAAATCAAAGAAAGAAGAAAAAAATCCAAAAAAGCACGTTTGTAAAAAAAAAATCTGTACCCTACAGCGTAAACTTCCGCTGTTTCGAATACTTTGTTTTACACATTTCAAACTAAAATAATTTAGATTCTCCTTTATGCGAAACATGCTAAATTTAGTGCATCCTTGTCCTTCAAAACGTATAATAGTGTGTACAACTGACGATAAATCTTTCTTCCCAAGGCGATGAGGACGATATCTCCCTCCCATGACTAGAATATATAAATATATACTTATATATCACCAGGTTATCAGTTTCGCTTTCCAAAAAGGTCATGGCCACTGGGAGACGTCACCTACAAAGTTTCCCTTGGTGCAGCAATACTTAAACACTAAAAACAAAAAAAGTCTCAAAAGAAAGCCTGAAAAAAAAAAAAAATACAGGGAGAAACGAGCAGACAAAGCATTATGTGCCTGAACTCCGCTCTGTTAGTTCATTAGGAATCATGTGCTTTGATATTATCGAGATTATTAACGGTTATTTCACAAATGTGTAGCTGGAAATTTGCTAGTAGCAAAATCAAAAAAACACTTAAAGAACTCCAAGTAAAACTAATAATTTAGGTTTGGATGGAGGTTAATTGGTTAACCTTTTATGTACAGACAAGCTAGACAAAATGAGCATCTCACAACCAAACCAGTGCAGGTCACCATGCACAGATCGGTTATGAGATTTGTTCAGAAGAGGCGAGCACAAGACCTTACCACAGATGCCAATTAAAACGGTTTGAAGAAAAAAGATCCAAAATGTAGAAACAATAAGGACTTGGCCCTAGTGCCCAGATTTGTGGAGTCCTGAGTTAAACTTGCCTATAGCTGTGAAGATCTGCCAATGTTAGGTTCTCTTCAATTCCCTTCCCTGGCTGGGTTACTAACTGGCCTTGTCAGTATGGCCTATTGACCCTGAATAAGGCCAAGGCATGACTGACTTGCGCAGGCTGTGTATTATATATAAATATATATACACACAGCCCCAGTTAGATAACTGCAAGAGTATTTCACTGTTGTGGGGATTCCAGAAGTCCATTTGTATATAGAGGTTTTTCAACACTCCTCAACCAAATTCTAAATTAACAGTTTTGTGGTGCTCTTGTTCATGCATTTTTTGTCTCTTTAGTAAATAACTTGCTTGCATTAATGTTACCTACTGCGACCAAATTACGGGACCCTTTAGCATTGGCGCTTGTGGGTAGGGAGTCCTGTAGGTCGTGTCTTTTGATATGACACCCACTTGGCGTAAAGAGTAAAAACACAACTTTGACTATGCATCTGAATGCCACAAGGTATTATATTGGCATTTTTTTTTTTTTTAAATGAGAACCTGAAAAAAGCCAGAAGCGGTTACAGATGTCCATAACGACCCACTCTTATCCAGCGACTCATTCGGTGATAACGCAGGTGGGGTATGATCACTAAGGTGTGATATTTAGTTCTTACTCTTCCCAGTGTTTTTACTGGGGGGACTTAACGGGACTTCCGGGTTCTTTATTCCCACGTTTTCCAATAGCCAGAGGAGGAGGCGGCGACCTGCGACCTGACAGTCTCCTCTGGTCTTTGGGTCGTCCTGTGCTAGACTTTGCCGGAGGAGTGTCTCTGGTTTTCTCTATGGAAGGGTCTGTCACCTTCCCTTCAGCTTTTACACAAACAGCCACATTCTTCTGTTCTTTAGAAGGCTGCAAGGCTGGGCCATCCTTGCTTGTTCTCTGGCAGATTTCGGCGTAGCTAGGTTTTCTCAGCTCCTATTAAAACAAAAGCCGTACACTTAGCATCAATCATACTCAGATTTATGCTGTGGCGTCAGATTAATGATGCAGCATGAATACTTACTGTAGCAGCTCCGTTGACTTGAACAGATTTACTAGCAGTGCTAAGGGTAGTGGAAATCCTTTCAATAGTTGGAGACTCTCGCTGCTGTATATCCGCTATCTTGGAGTCACTGCATTTAAAATAGAGATGTATTTTAGCCATAACGAATGTTAAAAAATAAAAAACATGTTCTTACCATAAAATCCATTTCTTGGAGCCCATTGAAGGAAGCAACTTTGAAGAATTGTGAGACGTAGGGTTATGCTGCTGCCTTCAGGAGAAATAGACCTCAGGCCAAAAATTTTAATCCTGCCACTTTAAGATCCTAACCCTTCATACCTGCCAGTTGTAGCAAGCAGTACAAAAAGGAAATGAAGGGAGGATGCTGTGACCCTCATTGGACACCAAGAAAAGGATTTTACGGTAAGAACAAAATCCTCTTTTCTTCATCGTCCATTAGCTCTAAAGAATTCGGAGTTGAAGGGCCGTCCAAAAGCAGTCCAAACAGAGGGGCTGGCACCATAACTAGAAGCAGCTTAACAAAAAAAATGAACTGTCAGACAAATACTCAAAAACAGCCGCCTGAAGAACTTTTCTGTCAAAACTAGCTTTAAAGGCGGAAGAAATATCAACTCAATAAAACTTTTTTTTTTAAATGTCATCAGAAGACTATGTAGCAGAATCTACAAGAAAGACTTTCAGAAACGCAACATACAAGCAATGAAGATAAATTTTCTTAGGGTGAACAGGAGTTGGACAAAGCGAAAGTAAAACAATGTCTTCATTTAAAAGGAAGGCGGAAACCACCTTGGGGAAAAAAAGGAAACCTGCGGCCTTAAAACCGCCTTGGGCCTATGAAGAGCCAAACAGGGTTCTCTACAAGTCAAAGCAGACAACTCATCTAATAGAACTGCTTGAAGGTGGATACCATTACACCCAGAACTCACATGTATGATTACATAAAGGGTAGTTGATGAGAATGAAGCAAACAAATGTAACTCTCCAACTTGGTTGAATTGCCCTGAAGAAAAAGCTTGGCCAGGGATGCATCAAAAAGGAAGACCCAAGTACTCCAGGCGGTGCCATGGAATAAGTGACGATTTCTAGAGGTTTAAAATTATTCAGAATTCTTGTAAGGTTCTCAGTGCTGTGGACATAATGGTTTCCAAAGTCAAAGACCATTCATGAAATAATCGTCTAAGTATCTAAAAACTGCAATGCCCATTTTGGTGAAGACCCAGAATCGTGGCAAGGACCTTGATGAAAACCCTTGGAGTCAAGGCCACACATCGATAATAGAGTTAGTCTATGACAAAGCAAAGAAAACCTTGATGACTCAGAAAGATAGGAATATGCATCCGTGATGTTGATGGAAACCAAGAAATGTTCTAGACAAAGGGAGATAACTGAGTGCGGCAGGTGGGAGGGGTTATGATCTTAATGTGGCAGGCTTTACATTTTTTTGCCTAGCGTCAATGTCTCATGAAGGCAGCTGCATAACCTTACATCTCACATTTCTTCAGAGCGGTGTTCCTCAATGGACCATAGAAGAAAAAAAAAAAGTCAGATGTGCAGGCCATTTAAGAACATTAACCCCTCGTGACTGACGACGTACAGTGTAAGTCGCCAGCATCGGGGCAGTTGCGCTAATATTGCGCAACATAAAAATTTTCAACTACCACCATTTTATTCTATAGGGTCTTGGCATTCAGAAAATATATAATGTTGGGGGGTTTTACATCATTTTCAGGCCTAAAATGTGGAATATAACATGGGTGCAAAAATTGAAAAAAAGGGCCTCAGTCATGAAGGGGTTAAAGATTACCGAGCAAACTATAATGTATGCCAAGTCTCTTATGATGTATACATATAAAGTAGGCGTGCTTAAAATGTGTCATTTGTGTGTCATCTTTTGGCTGGATCTTTCAGGCTGTTGCCTAAGTTCATTACTACTTAGGTTTGCCTTTAGGGTGGGGGCATGTAGTATTGTAGTTTATCAGCTGGCAGGGCTATAAGTACCCAAATAAAATCTCAGTCACTTGTCATAACAAAAGCATTTAGGAAACCAGGTTTTTGTTCCATCATACACAATTTAACTTGAGTTCCGTCACAAAGTAGTTATGTTTTCATACCCAAGTACCAGAAAACACTCAGCCAGTGTTCCTGCTACACTTTTCTCATGTGTTACAAGTAAAGAAATCTGGGGGAAATTATTCTTAACCCTTGCAGTGTGGGGTAGCGCGCGCCCCC